CTAGAACACCCCCGAAATTCCACCCACAGCCCGCAGGCGGAAGCACAACCAGAACACGCAGAACGGAACCCCAAGAGCACAGACACCACAGCCAGTTCCAACGACAAAGCGGACGACATTGCCCCGCACAAGATCAGCACCCCGAACGAGGAAGCACAACCAAGCAGCAACATCGTGTACAACAGAACGAAACTCCAGGAACTCGTGAAAAGGCTCGAGCAGGAAACTCGGATGGAACCGCGCCGACAACTCGTAAGACAAGTCCGCAAAGAGCTGGACCTAAGTGACAAGGGACCACTCCCTCGAAGGATCTTTCGCGGAGACGACGGCACCATTGCCAAGCTCTGCAAAGACCTAGGGTGGCACGAAAAGCGACTCCACAGCGCAGCAGCAAAGCCATCGCCCCGAACTGACACTCGTGGCACCCGTTCCCGGGACCCGCCGCCGAAAAGACACGAAAAGAGAAAGAGACGGGACAAAACCGATCAGGAACCCGATCTTGACAGCTGCATGCCACCGCCAGAAAACTCGCAGCACCAAAGTGCTCCGAACGCCAAAGCAGCCGCTCCCAGCCAGATCGCCACCGCCAATACTACTACATGCTGAGACACACCGCCCCGACTACGACCGTTCAGTCTGCCCACCAAGGCATGTTAGCAGCAACTACTAGCATGTTAGACCACCAACAAGATCTCAAAAGGACCCAGCCCGACACAACGCAGATGTCACGTGCATCCAGAAAAAAAGGTGCTGTCCCAGTGCAATCAACCCCGAGCAAAGAGTCAGTAACCAGACACGGCACCAAGGACAGCCAAAACCCCATGCCGTGAATATCAAAACATCAGACCAATCGCGACAGTGTGCAGGGCTCGAACCCCGCCAATTCGACCGGTACTGTTGCTCGCCACCTCAAAGCTATCATGAAACGACCAAGCACCCACAAGAACGAAAAGATCCGGGTACAAGTCTACACCGGCGCAGGAAACCTCGTAGCGGACCTTCGCCTGCACGAAGCCACCACCATACGAAAGCTCATAGCCAGACTAGCTCCGGACCTGGGAGTCTCCCGATTCCGACAGAAGATCCTCCGAAACACGCGCCTCCTCGACGACGACGACGAGATCCGAAAATCCACCCACCTGCAGGTCGTGCTATTGAACTACATCCCCACCTCCGCGAAAAACATCCGCCGGCTCATTGATGCCAGCTTCGAAGACTCCGAATCCGAAGTGGAAGAACTCCTGTGCAAACCACAGGACGTCAACGCGTCCATGCCCCGAGGGGCCAAAGTCAACAACGCAAACGGCGCAACCACCGCTCTCCAAGCAGCCGCGAGTGCAAACAATACGGACATCCTGAAACTCCTCTTCCAGGCCCATGCGGACGTGAACCGCAACGGCAACGATCGGGCACTCTGGCACGCAGCAGCCCAAAACGCAAAGGAAGCCACGCGCATGCTGCTGCAACACCGAGCAGACCCGGACGCAACAGACCTTCGTGGACGCAGCGTTACTCGAAGCCGTCGCTGGTGGCTTCCACAGCCTCACGCAATTGGTGCTAGAGGCAAGAGCCGACCCGAATCAACGCAACGACCAAGGCCGGACGCCCTTCAACGTCGCTTGCCACAATAACGACGAAAAAATGGCAACCACCCTGCTGATGGCGCGCTCGGACGTGCACACCCGACACGAGCCCCGCAACGAGTACGACTACGAGACAACCGCTCTCTGCGCATGCGCCAGCACCAACTGCATTTCCGGCATTAAACTCCTGCTCGGCTCATCGGTCCACGTAGACGGCCAGTTGAATGCCACGGCGCTCTGGTACGCAGCTTGGCACGGGAGAACCGAAGCCGTGGAGTTCCTGCTCGAACAGAGAGCTGACACCGAGAAGCATGCCTTGCACGGGGGAACGGCTCTTTGCGCAGCAGCTTTCCAGGGTCACGACTCGATCCTCCGCAAGCTCATTGCGAACCTCTGCGACGTGGAATCAGAAGCAGCTGTGCGACTCTTTCAAGAACCGCTACAACTTGCGATGTGGAGCGACAACCCCGACACCGTCAAACTCTTGCTCGATGCGAAGGCGAACGCGACTGGCGTGAAGAACAACACATCCGTCGGTAGAATGCACCAGCTACAGCTATACCAGTCGACTGTAGAGGTGCGGACACCCACCCTGGACAGACTCCGTCTTTACCAGTATCTGCAAGAACGCCAAACACAAGCGCAGGCTGCAACTGCAAGCAGAAATCTCTCAGGCCAGGAACAGGAACCATAGGCCGGTCTCTCTTTCTAGCCTCTCCAAGCCCGAATCCGGAGCCTAACGATCCCGTCGCAGCACCTAAAGCATCAAAAAGAAAACACAAACAAATCTGCGGGAGAAACAAGTGCACGAGACCAAGCATGCCAACCTTCCTTTTGGTTGTACTTGGGCTCGAGCTACGTCCACGACTTCCATGCACTCCATTCCTACTTCCAGGTAAAGCACTGGAAGAGTAATAGCAAATCAACCATGCAGATCGATGTCGCTTCATTGCCATGCAAAAAAAGAAGTCAGAGGCCCGACCGACACGAACGCCAACCCACACAACGAGGACTGTCATAACACGCGCACGTCGAGTCAGCAACACCCCCTCGAGGGATCTTGCGGAGACGACGGCGACATTGCCAAGCTGTGCAAAAATTTCGGTTGACGCGAGAAGCGACACTGCAGCAGAGCAGCAGAACCAACACCCCAAGTGACACTCGAGCCATGCAATCCCGAGGCCGGAAAATCAGGAAGACAAGACACGACGGGAGAAAGCAGACACAGGCCCAAACCGAACAGAACCCGATCCCACAGCTGCGCACAAAACGAAACAACAAAAACACAGCAAAGCAGTGACCAAAACGCGAAAGTAGACGCTCCCAACAAGAAAACCACCGCCATTGCTGCAGGAGTTGTGAAACACCGCCCCGACCACCACCGTCCAGACTGCCCGCCAACGCCTGTACAGCACGAGAGCAACAAGTGCAGGCCCGCAATCAAAAACGAACCCGAGCGACGCCGATGTCACGCACGTCAACAAAAAAAGAGCAAGCCAGCCAAATGCAACCGACCCGCCCCGAGCAGCAAACATGCACAGGACCAAGCGCAGCCAGAAACATCACGACACACATGTCCAACATCACGTCAGCCGCAACAGTATCAATGGCCCGAGCCCCACGAACTCCGGTTCGTACTACTATCAGGTCGCACAACCACCGCCCCCGCCAGAGAGCCAAAATGAAACGACCGAGCACCCAGAAGATCGAAACCATCCAAGTACATGTCTACTCCACCGCAGGCAACCTCGTAGCCGACCTCCACCTAGACGAAGCCAGAACCGTGCGACAGCTCAAAACCAGACTAGCTCCAGACCTGGGAGTCTGCCGATTCCGACAGAAAATCCTCCAGGACACACGCCTCCTCGAGGACCAGGACAAGATCCGAAAATCCTCCCGCCTGCAGGTCGTGCTATTGAACTACATCCCCACTTCCACGGAAAACATCCGTCAGCTCATTGATGCCAGCTTCGAAGATTCCGAATCCGAAGTGGAAGAACTCCTGTGCAAACCACAGGACGTCAACGCGTCCATGCCCGGCGGAACCAAAGTCGACACCGCAAACGGCGCAATCACCGCTCTCCAAGCAGCCGCAAGTGCAGATAACACGGACATCCTGGAACTCCTCTTCCAAGCCCATGCAGACGTGAACCGCCACGGCAACGATCGGGCACTCTGGCACGCAGCAACGCAAGACGCACAGGAAGCCGCACGCATGTTGCTGCAACACCAAGCAGACCCGGACGCAACAGACCGTCGTGGACGCAGCGCCCTACTCGAAGCAGTTGCTGGCGGCTACCACACCCTCACACAAATGGTGCTAGAGGCAAGAGCCGACCCGAATCAGTGCAACGTCCAAGGCCGGACACCCTTCAGCATCGCCTGCCAAAATAACGACGAAGAAATTGCAAGCACCCTTCTGCTAGCGCGCTCGGACGTGCACACCCGGCACGTGCCCCGCAACGAGTACGACTACGAGACAACCGCTCTCTGTGCATCCGCCAGCGCCAACTGCATTTCCGGCCTTAAACTTTTGCTCAGCTCATCAGTCCACGTAGACAGCCAGTTAGAGGCCACGGCGCTCTGGCACGCAGCTTGGCACGGGAGAACCGAAGCTGTAGAATTCCTGCTGGAACAGAAAGCCAACATCGAGAAACATGCCTTACACGGGGGAACGGCTCTTTGTGCAGCAGCCTTCAAGGGTCACGACTCGATCCTCCACAGGCTCCTTTCAAACCTCTGCGAGCTCCAATCAGAAGCAGCTGTGCGACTCCTTCCGGAACCGCTGCAACTGGCAATGTGGAGCGACAACCCCGACACAGTGAAGCTCTTGCTCGATGCGAGGGCAAACGCAAGCGGCGTCAGGAGCAACGCATCTCGCGAGAGAATCCACCAACTAGATGAATATCCGTGGGCCTTGGAGATGCTGATGCCCGCCCTGGAAACACTCCATCTCTACCAATATCTCCACGAACGCCAAGCACAGACGCAGGCTGCAACTGCAAGCAAAGATCTCTCAGAGCAACAACAGGAACCATAAGCCGGTCTTTCGCGCAAGCCTCTCAAAGCCCAATGCCGGACCCCGTCGGTCCCCTCGCAGCACCTAAAGCAGCAACCAAAAGGCACAAACAAAATCTGCGCGAATAACAGCTGCACAAGCCAAAGCATAACAACCTTCCTGGCAGATAAACTTGGGCTCAAGCTAGGTGCTCGACTACCATCCACGCCATTTCCATTTCCAGGCAGCACTAGACGAGCAACAGCCACTCAATCTTAACTCGCTATAAGCCATGTCGCTTCATTGTCGTGCAGACAAGTCAGCGGTCCAACCAGCAACAGCGCCGACACGAACAACAAGAGCTGCTACTACACATGAACATCGACATACCCGCCAACGGCGACGTACTGGAACACAAAACAACCCCGATACAAGAAACCTCACTCACAGACAGCAAGCAGGCATCAACTCCGACGACCACTGCATAAGCACGACCACGGCACTGAAACCGTCCACAACACCAATCCCCATTCAGCCGAATCAGCCAAAACAAGCACCAAACCGACCGCCACCATCATTCCATACGAGAGCTCCCGTCCCCTGCACAGAGTGGCAAGGCAGGGGCTCCCCTTCAGAACACATACTCTCCTGGGAACCACACACGCCGTCTCGCGCGACAACTCTTCACGGACAGCGTGCACTCATGACTAATGGCATCTCCGACGACGATTCCAACGAGGTCGCCAAAATATACGCCAACGGAAGAACCGAATCTTGAAGCAAAGAGCACCGACATGAACAAGCATATATACATACATACATACATACATACATACATACATACATAGATACATAGATACATACATACATACATACGTACATACATACATACATACATAGATACATACATACATACATACAGACATACACACATACATACATACACACATACATACAGACAGACATACATACATACATAAATACATACATACATACATACATACATATATACATACATACATACATAGATAGATACATACATAGCATACATACATACATACATACATACATACATGCCTGCATACATACAAACATATACATACATACACCTACACCCTCCCGATGCGCACAAAAAAACCAACCCTAAGCTCCAGCCGACTGCGCTGCAAAACATCTACAAAACGACAACGCTGCAAGCCGAACACCAACTCCGCCGGCGACAGACGATCAAGTGGAACCAGCATTAAACATGACTTCGATCAAGAGGCAATGCATGCATGATCAATGAACACCACAGATGCACATAATCAACACACGCGTACAGAAACACAGGAGCCATGGCATTCAACGACGATCCAGAAACCGTTTCCCTGTCTTCACTCCAAGCCGACAACATCCTCCACGACACACTGAGACATAAAAAAGGAGACGCATCCATGGCGAACATGTGCAGCGCCGGTGCAAGGACACTAAAGCCACGCACATACAGCAGCCAGCACATCCACCAGATGAAACGGATCACCTCCAGCACATCAACCCACACGAAAAGGACCAGCACCTCACCTTTGACACATCCAGCCACAAGTACTTCTGGAAAGGTACCCCAGTACCTACATCAGTCACCCAATTAATACACCAATTTACAGAGCTTTTCCAACCGCAGCGCACCATCGACACCATGCGATCCAGCACCAGGTGGCCCCGCCCGGACTATGTCGATCTACACGCACTGCAGACAATAAACCAAGCGGACTTGTCGCTCCTTCCAGAAGACGCCACACAACCTAAGCACCTGCTTCAGCAGCCCGCAACACATCTGGACCAGATCTGCCTTCATTTAAGTCGCTTGCGACACGAACACCCAGAACTCGACGCCTTTTGTCAGCGAATGACCTTGGACGACGAGGCCATCAAACGCAAGTGGAACACCAAGGCAAGAGAAACGTCCGAAGCAGGCACTGAGATGCACGCACACTTCGAACAGCTTCTCAACGGCGGAATCGTCGCGCAGCTGACGCCGGAAATCCAACTGCTGGTGCGCTTCTTGGACCACATAAACAATACGAAAACATATCGAACCGAATGGAAGATCTACAGCGAAAAACATGCACTCGCGGGCACCATAGACTTCGTTGCGGAACATCCCAACGGCGACAAGATCATCATCGACTGGAAACGAACCAGCCAACTCAAACACAAACACCGGAACTACGGCAAACAGATGCTGCCGCCCATTCAACACATGCCGGACTGCCCCGTCTCACACTACCGACTCCAGCTCAACCTGTACCGGCACATTCTCGCAACAGAATACGGACAGACTGTCCGCGAAATGTACATCGTCGGCACTCACCCGGACAACGGCGAGAAACCATGGATCGACGTCGTGCCCACGCTTGAAGAGGAAACCCTTCAAATCCTACAACAAAGAAAAGACTGCACAGTCCTCAACCATGCGCACACAACAATGGCCGAGACCTCCAACGTAGCACACGAAGAACCGCCACAAGACATCTGACCGTCACCCCTGCTCCATCCGCACTGCCAACAAAAAGAACAACAACGACCACGACATCGACAACAGTCCACCAGCACACGTATGCAACCCACGGAACGTAATGCACTATTTAAAGAGACAACAAAAGCCGCGTGTGATGCGCCAAACCGAAACAACAAAAAGGGAGGCCGAAGAGAAC